TCTGTGATGCAATACACATTGCAGTAAAAAGCCCCAGTACAAGTCTGAATTAGAGAATAAGTTTACAAAGATTCATATATTGGAAATACAATTCTCCATGTTTTCTGTAAAATCCATTATTTTCCCTTCCCAGCACTGCAGCCACCTATTCATGAGTCCAAGGGGTAGAGAATGCGGGACTTCTGAACAAAATGATACAGGGTAAGGAGCCTGAGAAGCACAGGAGAGAGTGGAAGTCTCACTGGAGGGGTAACAACTGAATGAATGGGAGAGGACCCTATCTGGCAGGAGGATTTGCAAGCCCTGGGGCCCCAAGCAGAAGCAATGTGAAGTAATCAAGAAACATCAAGGCTAGTGTTAACTGGAGCCCCCCTGAAGCAGAAGAGAGGAATAGGAAACTAGATGATGAGTTTGGACTTAAGGAATAGGACACTTAAGAGGAAGACAATCAAATGCTATGATTTGCATTTTTTTCCTTTAGTATTTATCCCTTTACTAAAGGTTTAGTCCCATGTCTCAACTCAGAGATCACAGACATGTTTCTTCAGAAGAGTACTTTCTGATGTTGAAATGATAGTCACTTTTAGAATGCTTAAGATGTACAATGTAGCAGCTTTTCTAGCAAGGTCCTGCCTAGTTGCACTTTCTTATTCTCCCTTTTAGATACAGAAGGATCTGAGGCTTACACTAATATATTAAAAAAATGGCTCAAGTGCAGGTTCTGTAACAGCTTAGTAATCAGCTGGTACACTGCCATTCGTCATTTTATTATTTCAATTATAATCAGTGAGGTTTCCTCTCCAAACTTGTTGGAAGTAAACTTTCAGCTCTTGCAGTATGCTTCCTTTTCTGATACTTTTTTCACAGTCAAACCTACATACAGTACCCACTATTCTCTCTCAAGAAAACATTTAGAAACTCCTATAATGCTCAAAACCCAGTATCACATCAAACCTCTTTATACTGTACATAAAAAATTCAAAGTTCCAAACTGACAACAGTGAAAAAAATAATGGAATATTTTAAAAGATGCTATTTCCTAGGAGCTGTCATTTTAGCTATCTATAAGACCGATATTAGATTATTACTATTAGAACAATTATCAGTATTATCCCATGGATAATGCCATTGGTAGCTTTTATATTCAGAATGAAAGAGGAAATGCCGTTAAGGTGCTGCGTCATAGATCCCCAAGACTGCCCACGGGTTTGGTGATTCACTAGAGGGATCATGGGACATAGCATATAGTTGTGTTTATGACTATGATCTGTTACTGTGAAAGAACATAAAACAAAACCCGAAAGAGAAAAGTGCATTCGGGGACAAGTCCTGAGGAAACCAAGCAAAAGTGTACAAGACTCCTAAGAGTTCTCTCGCATGGAATCACACAGAGTGTACTTCATTCATTCATCGATGGATTAAGAAAACACACGTAATGGTATCTACCAGGGAAATTCATTAGAGACTCATTGCCAGGAGGTATGTTAAGGGGTAATCGCATGAAAAACTTCTGCTTGCCATGTAACAAAATTCCACACTCCCAGAAGGAAAGCATGTGTTCAGTATAAACCTTATTGTTTGCACAAACTGTTTCAGCATAGAGCCACTCTAACCTAATTAAGAGATTGTGGGAACCTTCTTGAAAAACAAGTGCCCAGATGCCAGCAATCGGCCAATCTTTCAAGCAGGTCTTTCTAAGAACAGTCATCTCAAACTGACACAACTCTCTTTATCTGCTTTTGCCAATCTGAAAATTTAATCAGTCAGGCAACATGATTACTATTTAAGAGGTGCACATGTATTCATGTACATGCATAGTATATATAACATGTATGTGTGTGTGTGTGTGTATAGAAAGAAAGAAAGAGAAGTTGCTCAGTCATGTCTGACTGTTTGCGATCCCATGGACTGTAGCTGACCAGGCTCCTCCGTCCATGGGATTTAACAGACAAGAATACCAGAGTGGGTTGCCATTTCCTTCTCCTATATATATGTATATAGTCAGTACATTATTACAATAAAGACAAAAAATAAGATAATAGTCTAACAAATGCTAAAAGCAAATGCTGGGGTTAGTGGTACTCTTTTGGATAAGAAAAGATCTGTAAAAAAAAGATCTCTTATAAAGAGTTATTTGAGTAGAAACTGGAATGAAGGTGAGGAGTAAGAGTAAACATTGAGAGTCATAGATGTAGAAAACAAGCTTCAGGTTTCAAGGGGGCGGGGAGGAAACGGAGAGGGGGTGAGGGATAAACGGGGAGATTGGGATTGACAAATATATACTATTACTATATATAAAATACATAACAAACAAAGACCTCCTATATAGCACAGGGAACTCTACTCAATCCTCTATTATAACCTATATGGGAAAAGAATCTAAAAAGAGTGAATATATGAATATGTATAACTGATTCACTTTGCTGGATAGCAGAAACTAACACAACACTGGAAATCAATTATACTTTAATAAAAAGTTTTTTAAAAAGAAAACACTGAGAGTAAAAATAATTGAGGAAGGGAGAAAAGTAAAAGCAAGCATCCTGGGGAAGATGTTTGCTAGCAAATTAAAGAAAAAGAAAGAAAGCCAGTGTGGTTTGAGCAGGACAAGCCATGAGTAGAATGAAATGAAATGAGGCCAAGGAATGTTGACAGAACCAAGAGCCTTCTAGGTCAGGGCAAATTCTTTTATGCTAAAATATGTTTTTAATAAAATTTCCATTCAGTGAGAATGGAAGCTACTGGAACACTTAAGGAGAGGTGTGTCATGACCTGATTTAGGTTTTACAGAATTGTTATGGGAACTGTGCAGAGAATAATTTATAGGGGTGGAGTGGAAGCAGAGAGATAATATAGGAAACTACTAGAGTAGTTCAAGAAGTAGAAAGTTTTTTTAATTAATTTATTTTTTTATTGAAGGATAATTGCTTTACAGAATTTTGTTGTTTTATTTTAAGAGGTTTTTAAGTTTTATCAAGTCCAACCATTCCAAGGAGAATTCAGTAAAAGAAAAATTCCATTCACATAAATCTATTTACATGTGCTCTTTTAAAAAAAAGAAAAAGGAGAGGATTAAAGAGTTCATGCAGAGGCTTTAGAGCTTGAAGTAGTATTAAAATATTGAAAAGAAAACGTAGTGTTTCAGTTTCCTGCATAAGAAAATCACAATTCAAAATGCAAAAGTGTGAGCTGAATTCTTTCTACCATAAAATATGAATTGTGGTTGTTTTGATTAATGCTATATCAATGTTTTAAATATCTCAGGTATTACTGCTTTGAGATCTTTGGAAGAATTTTAAAACGAGGGAACCAAAGAAATGATCTGAAATGCATAAGTTTGTGCCCTTTGTATAAGGAACATCAAACTGAAATTACAATTTCAACATACTACATAGGCACTTAATTTTAAAAAAGGAAAACTTTCTCATTGCAATTACAGACTAACATTTTTCATTAAAATATTATCTCTCTTAGTTATGGAAAATAAATATATGACATATTTATTTAAGGTTATCAGTATTACTTATTAACATAAGGAAAAGATATAAAAATAATTCCAAAAAGAACAAAATTCCATTTTGCAATATAAATAAACAAAATCATATAGACTGTATAGGACTTAGCGACTTACAAACAAGGACAGAAAAAAATTATGTAAATAAATATTATGTGAGAAAGCAAATAAATAGTCACTTGATACCACACTTCTAGTGTTTTACAAGAATAATCACAATAGTTATGACTTAGGAATCTTACTGATTGTAAGCATAATATAGAACTATCTTGAGTAATTCTGTGTATTTTTCCTCCAGATAATTAAAAGCAGCAATATTCCTTTAGATGTGAGAAAATTACAATGTCTGTCCTCTACATTCACACCAGTATTTGCTGAACATGTTCAGTGTAGGAAAGTTTGTGTATATTCAGAAGTTTTTACACATATGTATATATGATCATTTTGAATATAAGGACATGTACATGAACACATGCAAACATGTTAAGTACATTGTGTATATGCTCGTAGCTAACATTTAAAGAAGGCTTATTATAATCCAGGTATTTTGTTTTTATTATATGATATTAAAATGGATGCCTACTATATTATTATATAGGCATTCTTATTACTTTCAATTTTAAAATGATAAAAACAAGGCACATAATGGATAAAAAATATTCCTATGGTTACTCAGTTAATGAATAGTTGAATTGAGAATCCCCAAGAAGTTCAAATCCAAAGTCTTTGTTTTTAACAATTATGCAGTGCCACTACTAATATATATATATATATGTTCTTTATTTGTTTGAATGTTTCCATGTAGAGAAGTAGCAATTAGATGACTGAGACTGCTGGTGGCTCAGACGGTAAAGAACTGCCTGCAATGCAGGAGACCCGGGTTTGATCCCTGGGTTGGGGAGATCTCCCTGGAGAAGGGAATGACAACCCACTCCTGTGTTCTTGCCTGGAGAATTCCATGGACAGAGGCTACAGTCCATGGGGTCGCAGAGAGTCAGACTCGACTGAGCGACCAACACTTTCACTTTCAGCTATTAGATAAGAAGACTGGATAAATTCTGAGCAGGTTATTACAAGGCAGCAAATAGAAAACCATGCTCAGGAAGGTCTCTGCAGCCCTCTGATGAAAGCCACCACCATAAACCTCAAATCCTGGACAAAGACAAAATCGATCAACCTTCTGAGGTGAGAACTGTAAGCTTCCACTATTTATGCACATCTTAGGAAACAACTGGAGAAGTCAGATAGTAAGAGGGAGAGAAATAAATGACTTGGTTTCCTACTTGTAACCTGTAGATTCTCTGTGATGGTTAAACAACATACACTAGGTCTGGGATAAAACAAAGAAACTTTTGGTGTGTGACACCAGGGAAGAATTAGCATTTTGTTCTTCAAGTTATTGGTGTACATTTGACCAGCATTAACTGAGATTTCAAATACAATACACAGAGAACAATCCATGGGGTCGCAGAGAGTCAGACTCGACTGAGCGACCAACACTTTCACTTTCAGCTATTAGATAAGAAGACTGGATAAATTCTGAGCAGGTTATTACAAGGCAGCAAATAGAAAACCATGCTCAGGAAGGTCTCTGCAGCCCTCTGATGAAAGCCACCACCATAAACCTCAAATCCTGGACAAAGACAAAATCGATCAACCTTCTGAGGTGAGAACTGTAAGCTTCCACTATTTATGCACATCTTAGGAAACAACTGGAGAAGTCAGATAGTAAGAGGGAGAGAAATAAATGACTTGGTTTCCTACTTGTAACCTGTAGATTCTCTGTGATGGTTAAACAACATACACTAGGTCTGGGATAAAACAAAGAAACTTTTGGTGTGTGACACCAGGGAAGAATTAGCATTTTGTTCTTCAAGTTATTGGTGTACATTTGACCAGCATTGACTGAGATTTCAAATACAATACACAGAAAACAGGCGAAGTTTTAATGTATTGTTTGTTTTTAACAAAAAGTAAACACTGTTTTTACTCATAAACACACTGTTTTCAAAAATACATTGAAATTTTTAAAGATAAAAAAAAATAGTCTATGCTCAGAAATATACACACTAGTACCAATCATAAGAACATCCCACCTATTGTTATTGGGGACAACTCATTTGTCCCCATATTAGCTAAGTTATGATTTCTCTAATAATGCATTCTTTACCTAGAATAGGCATATTGTATATCATGTGACATATTTGCTTCCTTCATTTACATCCAATTAAAAAATACCTTGGATATAACAGGATAATATATAAAATTCCTTTAGGGTTCTATGTATATGCAGCCCTATTGGCATTAATCCACTCTTTGGGCATCCCATGAATGACTCCAATGTAACTCCTTAGTCTGGGTCCAACTGTAGTTAAATGAGCAGACATGAAGATGGACATAAACTAAGCCTGTGGATGAGGCAGGTATTGATGTCTACATCAAACTGTAGCTTTGGTCACTGTGAAAAGCCAGTGTTACTATCTTGGGTCCCTGACTTCACACAAGAATAGTGTCTAATGCTTTTAGTATCTTAATATGTTGTGCTTTTAGAGTTCTTGTGTATATAACTCTGTAAACAGTTAAAAAATAAAATCACAGCAAGCAACCCAAAACATACTCAACACATACTCTTACATTTTGCTGGATCATATCATTAGAATAGACACGTGCATGGATATGAATTACCGTGCATGCCAGGGATCAACACATTTAGGCACATACATGTGCTTGATGTATATGCTAACAAACATGAATGTACCAACAGGCCAGAAACCACAAACAAAACAGAAACACATATCTTTGAGAATGCCCACAATGGGACTATACAGAGTAATATGCACTCATGGAAGGAGGCATCATATATTTATGTAAATACAAACACAAGTGGGATTGATGATTTTCAGCTAATAGACGAGATCTCAAGGAATTAAACAGATGCATTCTAGAAGGGCATGGAATTTATTAGGAAACTCAAACGCCAAAAACACTTGGAATGTTTACTCTCCTGATCAAGTGATAATGAAAGAAGAAATGACAGGCTGTGGACATAATACTGTGAGCTCAGAAGACATGTGCTAAGTGCCAATCAAAAAGCTGTTCTGCCTCTCAAGAGGAAGTGAGAGTTTTGATTTCCCTAAACTGCAATCAATTCTTCAATCCCTCACTCTGTGTATTCAAATTAACCTGAAAACACAAATGAGCCTCTCAATTTACTAGCAGGAGGTTAAATTTTGAGAAAATTCATTTTTCAAGGAGTCTAGAGTTCATCATATTCATGATCACCTAATTTGCTTTCCTGGACACGCATAGTTATTCTCACTTAAGTAAGGGAAAGGAATAAAAGTACAGTCTGCACTATCAAAGCAGAAATTTAAAATAAAAATTTCTTTCAAACTCACTCAATTTTTCAAACACTCCCTGGCTTTAACATAACCATGTACATAGTTCAATGGATGGACCCATATCCAGTAAGTAAATTTTATTTAAACTCATAAAAGCAAGTATCCTTATCCACATAAATTTCAGGAATTAAGTGTATATCTAATGAGTGTGTTGATGTATTAATCACTCCTTCATTTACCGACATCTCCCATACACGTCTGTCACTCTCAAAATAGCATGCCCTATGGCTTCTGAATGAAGACTCTACATTGTTTGACTTATCCGGGAATAGAACCGCTTGACAATATGGAAACGGTAACACAGGTGTGCTCGTTTACAGATTCAGGGAACTTTCAAAGGACTCAGGTAGGAGCTCTGAGGAGTCTCTGCTCAAACATCCTTGTAGTGCTTGGGATCATTATTGAAATAACCTAAAGGGAGATGAGCTGAAATTCACAGGATGGATGTTTATCATCTTGGATGTAGTGCCCTCTTAAACAGGGGTAAGAGTAGAGCCTGGACAGAGGTAGAACTCCTGGACTTAATTTTGTTCTATCCTTCAAACTTGAGCAGGACCAATCTGCTAAACACGTTACTAGGATAATGCAGATGAAACATTCTCCTAATAGTCATATTTTACATGATAATAGAATTAAAGACCAGTTAGAATGAGGGAAAAACCAAACACATGTTCCAGCTCTTCTCTGCCTTGGTAGAGACACTACACATGGAATCTAGAGATTGCATTGTGTAACCAGGAGCACACTTTACTGTCCTATGTGGTGGAAAGTGGTCCTTGCTTGGATTATGTGCACTGCATTGCCTGTTCTTCTCAAGACACTACTGTGTCTAAGTGACATAGAGCAGGATGATGTAGCCAAAGGAATTAAGCAGTTAGGTTTGATCTATGATAGATGAGGGGGAAAACACATGCCCACAGAATTTTCATTTGTTTTGATGCTGTCATGGTACAGAGAAACCACTCCAGCCATAGAAAATTGGTCTTCTGATATGCACACATACTCTAGAGATATGGTGGAGAGAGTGAGAGAAAGACAGAGACAGACTGTCATATGTTTAATGGAATAAATCAAGTTTAAAAAGCAACTAACCCAATTAACCTCAGAAGTCTTAGCTTGCACAGACTAAGAAGCAAAGGCATTTGTCTCAAATGATGCTTTCATTTTCTACCCACCACATTTCCAAAATTATTTTTATTTGAATTCCTGAATATTACTTTCAAATATTTTAAAGTAGTATCTGAAAAATTATAAAATTTCATTTTGGATGTTTTGAAAATCTACATAGAATGTTAATTAAGCTTTAACTCAAATCCCTTTTCCTCAGTGAAATGAGACAACTCAGACAAGTTCTGAGCTCTTAGTGCTGAAATCTTAATGCTTTTCTTGGTAGTAGTTACCACTGTTTCTAATTAGGTGTTTAATTGCATGCTATGTTGTTTAATGGCTATCTCTTCCACCAGATCATGCTCTAACTTTGTTTTTGCAGAGACAGGAGGAGATATTGATTAAACACATGAAGTCCAGCAACATATTACCAGGTCAGAGTCCCAGTTCATCCTCTTACCGCAAGTGTAATGATGGACAATTTCTACAACATCTTTGTAATTGTTTCCTCCTCTATAAGGGATAATATAGTATTGACTTCCCAGGATGCTATAAGGAATTCACAGGTAACACATCTCTCGAAATCCCAGTTATGAGAAAGACACGTTAGAGTATGCTGCAGTGTGGTCCCTTCATTAATTTAAGCATAGATAATTACAATGATAAAATTCTTTGATCAATCAAACACTGTTCATTAAATCTGAAAATTAAAGGAAATGACTGATGACAGGATATCAATAAAAACCTTGTCTAATACCTTGATCTTATTGATAAACACATCTTTGTCTGTTTCTGAGTGTGTGAGCTTCTCAGACTTAATGAAAACTTAGTGAGATAGTGTTCATGAAATGTTCAATGTTTTCCAGGGAGAAAGGAAGAGATAAGCCCCAAATAATTATAACTTGCAAGTATCATGTTTTAACTATCTTATCAGCCTTGTAGTTATGGTAGAAACAGGCTTTCACTTTACTGGAATACAAAGTGGAAGTGAATCCTTGATGGAGTTCTCTGTACCTTGCTCACATTATAAACAGCATTCACCCTGCCTTGGCAGAAAAGGAACCACGGAAAATAAACCAGATGACTGCAAATGCTGAAATCAAGGAGAATTGCCCCTTTTCCTATATTACAGTTAAAACAAACAAACAAACAAACAAAAAACAGCCTTGTCATAGTATGAATAGAACTTGGCTTGAGAAATTACCCCAGGAATAGCATGTCACCTATGGAAACAGTTTTATCTGCAAACAGAGTCAACAGGGTTTGAATGGAAACCTCAGTTGCACTAGTAGGTCAAAATAGCAGAAAACTGAACTGTCAGTGGCCCTAAAGCCCAATACATAGGCCAGACCCATAGAATGTACAATGCCAAGAGTGAACATACCACTCTGGTGGGGAATGTTGATAAGGGTGCAGGCTATGCATGTGAGGCCAGGAGGTGCATGGGAAATCTCCACATCTTACTTTCAATTTTGCTGTGAAGATTAAACTGCTCCAAAAAGTTTTAATAAAAAATAGGCATCGTAAAATTAGCAACAGAAGGAAACCTCAACTTTATAAAGAACATACACACACAGAACTCTTACAGGTAACGTCATACTTAAAAGTGAATGCTTTCTGCCTAAGATTAGGGGTGTGTGTGTGTGTTAGTCATTTGGTCATGTCTGACTCTTTGTGACTCCATGGAAGACTGTAGCCCTCCAGGCTCCTCTGTCCATGGGATTTTTCAGGCAAGAATACTGAACTGTCAGTGGCCCTAAAGCCTAATACACTGGCCAGACCCATAGAATGTACAATGCCAAGAGTGAACGTACCAATCTGGTGGGGGATGTTTACAAGAGTGGGTTGTCATTCCCTTCTCCAGATCTTCCTGAGCCAGAGACTGAACCCAGGTCTCCTACATTGCAGGCAGATACTTCACCCTCTGAGCCACCAGCGAAGCCCAAGATTAGGGATATGCAAGAGCAAACTCACCACTGCTGTTAACAGAATGTTGCAAGTTCTAGCCAGCACAGGAAGTCAAGACAATGAAATAAAATTGTTACAGTTTGAAACAGTACTGTCCCTAATTGCAGTCAGCTTGAGTTTCTATGTAGAAAACTCAAACTTAAAACATTTAAAAATGAATCAAGTGAGTTTGTCTGCAGGATAAAATGTACATATATCTCATATAAATTGTATTTAGAGTTCAGAGCGGCACTAAAATGTGTGGCCACTAACATTAAAAAATATAATACCATTTATATAGTCCCAAATGAAGTAACTAGTTGTCAGTCCAACAACAGATGTATAGGACTTGTATGGTGAAAACTACATATATGGAGAGAACAAGATGGTGGAGGAGTAGATAGACATGGAGTACATCTTTCTCCGTGGATACATCAGGAACACACCTTCAGACACAGAAGTGCTTGCAGAACACAAGCTAAGAACAGACAGGAGTACTTGACCAGTGGAAAAGAATTCATAGAACCACGCAAAACTAGGTAGGACAAGGAACTAGAGGGAAAAATAGGAGTGTTAGTAGGACTGGACCTGCCCTCGGTGGGTGGGAGAACTGAAGCAGGGGTCCGATCCCCACATCGGGGCAATTGTCTGAGCCAGAGGAGAAACACTGAAGGCTGAGAGTGAAACAGCTGATCTGGGGCAGCCTAAATGAAATGAGAATCAGACAGTCCTTGCTGCAGCCATCCTGGACAGGGATGCAGGTCCCCTGGAAGGCGCAGTGGCTGGGAGTTGGAGTTTAGGATTTGTGGAGCAATCCCAGGGCAAGGGCTGCTGTTGACTGTGGAGAGATGGATTGAGGGGGTGTGAAGGAGGAGACTGTGGTGGGAAATGCCTGTGGAGGAGATCTGGGCAGCCATGGAAGCAAGGTGATACTGCTGAGTCACATATAGGGGGTGGAGCCTTCACCGTAGCCTCTCTCCCCCACACGCCAGCATCGGCAGCTGAACACTAGGTAGGCTGGCCCATCAAATGCCTGACACNAGCTAGAACATGGAAGCAACCTAGATGTCCATTGATAGATGAATGGATAAAGAAGTTGTGGTACATATACACAATGGAAGATTACTCAGCCATAAAAGGAATGCATTTGAGTCAGTTCTAATGAAGTGGGTGAACCCAGAACCTATTATACAGAGTGAAGTAAGTTAGCAAGAGAAAGATAAATATCATATTCTAATACATATATATGAAATCTAGAAAAATGGTACTGAAGAGTTTATTTATAGGGAAGCAATACAGAAACAGAAATAGAAGATAGACTTATGGACTTGGGGAGAGGGGAGGAGAGGGTGAGATGTAGAGAAAGAGTAACATGGAAACTGACATTACCATATGTAAAATAGATAGCCAGCGGGAATTTGCTATATGGCACGGGAAACTCAAACAGGGGCTCTGTATCAACCTAGAGGGGTGGGATGGGGAGGGAGGTGGGAGGGAGGTTCAAAAGGGACAGGATTTTTGTATATCTATGGCTGATTCATGTTGAGGTTTGACCAAAAAAACCAACAAAATTCTGTAAAGCAATTATCCTTCAATTAAAAAATAAATTAATTTAAAAAATCTACAGGTACTGAGGAAAGAAATGAAAAGTGTCCAAATAATTGAAGAAACATGCAGGGTTATGGTTTGGAAGGCTAAACATAGCAAAGATACAAATTCTCCCTAAACTGATCTATAAAGTTCTTTCTGTCAAAACCAGCAAAGTTTTTGTAGATATAGAAAAATAAATTCTAAAACTCACATTGAAAGTATAATTCCCTAAAACAGCTAACATAATTTTCAAAAAGAGGAAAATAAAGTGGGAAGGAACAATCCTCTTAATTTGATACAGTCGGGATTGTGTGTGAATTGTTTGAGGGAAACACAGGAAACAGAATACATATAGGAAACAAATACATATAGGAAACAGAATAAAGAACTCAGATATATAGATCCACAAATATATCCAATTTGCATTTTACTTAGCAATCTGACCTTGATATCAATTTGGTGGGTCTTATTCCAAGTATAATAGCTGAATAGTTGAAAAGAATTTGAAAGATTCTGTCATTGATTTCCTTCATTTGATTCTAATAACAATCAATGATATGAAACAAGGGTATATTTTGCTAACACTATGTATTCAAAGAAGAAAAATAGTACATAATAGTATTTTAGTATTTATCTTGTTGTTTTTCAGTCGCTCAGTTGTGCATGACTCTGAGACACCAGGGACTACAGCAGACCAGGCTTCCCTTTCCTTCACCATCTCCCGGAGCTTGCTCAAACTCATCCATTGAGTCGGCGATGCCATCCAACCATCTCTTCCTCTGTTATCCCCTTCTTCTCCTGCCTTCCATCTCTCCCAGCATCATGGTCTCTCCCAGTGAGTCCACTCTTCCATCAGGTGGCCAAAGTATTGGATCTTCAGCCTTCAGTAAATATTACATAATAGAAAAAGGCAGAAAGGGAAGAGGAACTAAAGAGCCTCTTGATGAAGGTGAAAGAGGAGAGTGAGAAAGCTTGCTTAAAACTCAACATTCAAACAACAAAGATCATGGCATCTGGTCCCATCATTTCATGGCAAATGGATAGGAAAACAACGGAAACAGTTACAGACTATTTTCTTGGGCTCCAAAATCACTGTGAATGGTGACTGCAGCCATGAAATTAAAAGATGCTTGCTCCTTGAAAGAAAAGCTGAGATAACTAAACAGTGTATTAAAAAGCAGAGACATCACATTGCTGACAAAGGTCCATATAGTCAACACGACTGAGCAACTGAACAACAATATAATAGTAAATAAACACACTAAATAAGTTGCTGGTATTAAAGATGCCTATTTAAATGAACAAATTAGAAATTCTATTAGCTAATAGTATTTTATTAACTAATATGAATTTCCCCTCTCAAGTAACACATTTTTAACAGAAATTCAGGTTTTCCTGTGAAACAATGCCCATTATTTAGGTATCTGTCTTAGTGACCACTTTGTGCCCTTTGATATAACTCAGTGAAGAGGTTTGTGTTTTTGAAGGCTTCTTAGGAGCTTATCTTCCCATTTGCACTTTATCTAGTTGCTGTGAAAATTCACAGTGATTCAGATCAGAGTAAATAGGAGTAGAAAATGTAGCAGGAGAAGGAAAAAGATGGACGGGTAATCAGGGGTTACATGTAATCTTGACTTTACTATAATCTTGCTTGTATTGCCTTTCACGTGAACCTTAACTTCCCTCTGTCTTAGTCTCCTCACTTCTAAAAACAGGAATGTCACTGTTTGGTCATACTGATTTCTTGTCCTCTAGCAACTCTCTTCAGGAAGTTTCCTTACATGCAGACAGCATCTTACACTCTTTTCTAAGAACATTCTCTGGCCAAAAAAAGCATGCTCTTCCAGTATGTTGGATAAGTAGTTCACATCTAGGAGTTAACATCTTAAGAACAGTCTACATAGAGGGAGGGATTTGCTTATCCTGGGATAAATTTTTGCATCTGCATATGAATTTTCTATTCTTTACACAATAACAAAATGGAAACTGTTCAGATTAAATTTTGTTTAATCTCCAGCTGCCAGAAAAATAAGAGCAAAAGCATTGGTTGTGTGACTTTCTATGGGGAAGATTGTTCTAGAATTGATAGTGGAGCAATCAAAACACAGAGGACATTTCTGCTCAAGTGGAGCTTACATTC